CATTCATGAGAAAGAAGCAGCAAAGATAGCCATTGAACAAGCTCCTCCAGTTATCAAGGAAGTGCCAGTGATTGACAACACCAAAGTGGAGAAGTTGACAGAGGAAAACAACAAACTCGAGGTAAAATCAGGAAATAAAATTCTGTGCCTTTACAATAATTGGTACGGCATCTGGCCTTCAGTGTTCCAAAACCTTTGGAGTTTGTTTCAGGAAAAAGAATGCAAGTATGATAAAAAAAAATGTCAAAACTTAGTGAATAACCACCTCCCCAAAGAAAGGGGGTTTGATACGAAGAAAAGTTTCACTATGATATTTCAGGTAATTGAACATAAAAGGAAAATCCTGAAATCAATGTAATCAATAAAAAGTAAAGGGATAAAAGAATTTGTTTGAGGTATGACGATTATCTAGACTTAAAAAAGAAAAAGAAAAGTTTCATTATTAAGACAGGAAACACTGCACTGTCTGCAGCAGAATACATGAGACATCATAAATTTGTGTGTTCCTAACTGCAATTTACCTGTCATATGTTCAGGAAGAAATCAGAGAGCTCAAGAAGAGAGTAGAGGACTTCGAACAGAGCTACGATGAAGTTGAAAAAGAATGTCAGGCCAGACGTAGAGAGGCAGAAGAAACCCAGCTACGCGTTTCAGACCTCCAAGAGTCCATTGAAAGGTATTTCCTCTATTTTCTTTGCGTAGAATGTTAAAGTGGCTGAAGCTTGAAATTCAATACAAGTAGCATCAGTATGAAACTTATTGTCTTACTTTTTCTTCTTAATGTTTATTTGCAGATTACAACTGAATTTATCCAACCTTGAATCTGAGAATCAGGTTCTCCGCCAGCAGGCTTTAGTAGCACCAACAAATGAAGCCCTCTCTGAGGAAATGGACATGTAAGGATGCATATCGAGGAATAGATTAAGCAAGCTAAAAAGTTGCTAATTGGCATCAAGAAAAGCTAGAGAAGATAGTTTATGTCCTTATAATTTAAAGACAGCTTCGTAAGCTCACATTTACATTAATAGCACAATGAAAAAAGTCCTTATTACATGATCGAAACTTTAATTTAAGTATAAAAATATGGACATAGACCCAGATCAGACCAATTTATGTAGTTTCTGTGAGTTTTAGAAGAAATAATTGCTTCGAGAGTACTTATCTGTACTTATTTCCACTAGAATGGAACAATATCCTATGAAAGCTTTCGGTTTGTGTTAGCTCGCAGAGATAATAACATTTTATTATGTGAAAATCAAATGGAATTGGTTTTTCATCTTAATCAGACTCAAGAACAAGATCAAAAACTTGGAGTCAGAAAATGAGATTCTCCGCACTCAAAGGGTAGTTGTGGAGCAAATAGTAAGTTCTGACCGGGCACCTAAAGGGCTTGAGGTAAGCTAACATTTCAGTCATTTTTTTCACTGTAAGCATGTTTCTTGTAGAACTACTATGCCACTCACTCCTGACTGGATTATTTCAGACCGTTGATAACATATATCCAGCTGATAATGGACATCAAACTGTGGAAGTGCATGAAGAAATAAAAGTGGAAAAACAAATATCTAAGGTATATAAGCTTCTCACTAATAACTGCAATGCAATAAGGATCACAACAATCAGCAAATTGCTAATTCTAAATGATACCTAAATTCTTCCTGCAGGATTCTTCCCCTCCCATCTCTTTAACTAAGCAAAGATCCTTGACAGATAGGCAGCAGGTAAGTAGTAGAAATTTGAACTTTACAAGTGGATCTGATAGATAATATTTTGATGGTTTTGTAGTCATTGCTGATTATTTCTGTTTTCATTTCTCAATAATCAGGAAAACCATGATATACTGATAAAGTGCCTCGCGGAAGACAAGCAATTTGACAAGGGAAGACCAGTAGCTGCATGCACCCTATACAAAGCACTTCTGCAGTGGAGATCCTTCGAAGCAGAAAAAACAAATATATTTGATAGGATTATTCATACCATCCGATTATCTATAGAGGTGAAATTGCACTATGATCCATTGTTGACTAGGAATGGTCCTAATGAAAGATTGAATCTAAAGCTACTTAGACAACCATTTGACAATAATTTATTGACATTTCATTGTAGGATCAGGATAACACTGGTGATCTAGCCTACTGGCTGTCAACATCTTCAACTCTGTTGTTCCTTTTGCAAACCACAATTAAAGCTGGTAATGTGCCTACTAGGTCCCCATATCGCAATCGCAGCTCACCTACCACATTGTTTGGCAGAATGGCACAGGTAAACATTCATAATATAAGCTTTCAACATGTATGAACATGTTTACATTGACATATCAAGGGTCAACAGCAGGGTTTTCGCTCAACTTCATTAAGCATGGCAATTTCCAGTGGCTACAGCGGAATTGAGGGAAGCCCAAATGTCCGAACAAGGATTGAAGCTAAATACCCAGCCTTATTATTTAAGCAACACCTAACTGCATGCGTTGAGAAAATTTATGGAATGATCCGTGACAACTTAAAGAAAGAAATAAGTCCATTCCTTAACCAGTGCATACATGTAAGCACCACTTTTAGTGCTATAATCCCTTGTCTATAATTTTGCAGCAGCTCAAGCTAAATTATAAAATAAATTGACAGGCACCAAGATCTGCAAGGGTAAGACCTTTAAAAGGGACATCTAGAAGTATACACTCAAACATCATCGCGAAACAACAGGCATCCATCATACACTGGCAAAACATTGTGAATAGCCTAGACAGTACATTGACAATACTATCAGAAAATAATGTAAGTGAAGTAATATCTTGTTATCAGCTTTCCTTAATTTTATGTCAGGAGATATCTCCAGTTTTCATGAGTGGGATCTGTGTTTTCAGGTCCCTTCCACAATTACAAGGAAAATATTCAGTCAGGTGTTCTCATACATAAATGTCCAGCTTTTCAACAGGTATTCATCTCTTATTCCAATTAACAACTGTGTTTCACTTCAGAAGTAACCTAAATGACCTCAGACCTGATGTCAGAAATATGAAAACTTTTCAGCTTGTTGCTTCGCCGTGAGTGCTGCTCATTTAGCAATGGGGAATATCTGAAGGCAGGTCTGCAAGAACTGGAAAGTTGGTGTTCTAAAGCAACAGAGCAGGTAAACAAGTTGTTCACAGTGGTAATCTGGTGTTCGAAAACAAGAAATAATGTTTTAATTCCTTCTCATGAAACAGTATGTTGGATCTTCGTGGGATGAACTTCAACACATAACGCAAGCTGTAGGATTTCTGGTATGCTATTGTCCACATCATCCTTCTGTAAGCAGATTACTTCATAGCTGAGTACTTATATTATCATGCCTCAACCTCACAGGTGTTGCATCAAAAATCTCAAAAGGCATTGGATGAGATCACGAGTGACCTCTGCCCGGTAATTAAGCTCTGTGCTAAAAACAATCAAATTCCCCCAACTTCCTCCTAACTATTTTTTCGTTTGACTTTTCAAAATAGAAAAAGAACTCTCTTTTCATTTCAAACTAAGAGGTCAAATGACAATGATGTTAGCAGTTAGTCACAGAGGATTATAGATATCATTTTTGTAATAAACAAATTCTAGCTATGATTAGAACTCAGAACCGAGAACTGAAATTTATATCCTATTGCTTTTTTCCCCCTCTTTTCTCTTAGATGTTGAGCATTGCACAAATATATCGGATTGGAACTATGTTCTGGGACGACAAATATGGAACCCATGGTTTATCTCCAGAGGTAAGCACTCTTGTTCAGTGTGTTATTAGAGGTACTCTATCCTTCCATCAGAGTTGGTAAAGAAGTTATTCAAGGTTCTCCCAGTTTGACATCGATGGTTCGCAAATAGCTGATAATGCAACACATGCATATATTATCATGTAAAAGTAAAAACTAAAAATTATTGCATGCATTGGGCTTCTTCTCTTATTATATGAAAACAATCTATTAGTAAAGAGCTAAAAGACAAGATGTACCCAAAAGGAAAAGATAGACAAAACAAACACCAAATAAAAACAGCCCACCAATCTTCTTAAAGTGTGTCCAAGCTCTGGTGGGAAGAAGTCCAACCTGCTTCAACAGAGAAGCCAAGTGTGCTATGCAGTTTCACACATACACCAGAAAAAGCTTTTTACTGAAGCACTCGTGTTATTCTCATGTCAAAAAGTGAAACAGCTTACCCTCCTTTATGTTCCACAACAACTTTAATGTAAAAGAAACACCCAAAGGCCGTGGACAGCACAGGATTCTCTAAGTGTTGCAAAAGATTTCCATCATAGCTCCCTAGCGAAAAGATCATATAGTTAGATTCTTTACGGCTTTACCCTTAAAAAAATTGACAATGACAACGAAAGAAACTGATGTCGAAATTAATTTTCTTCTTAACCATTTCTTTTCCTCTTCTAAGTAAATAGTCTTATTGATTCTGTTAACAAAAGGTTTTAAAAAACACACAAAAGCAACTCTGAACCTACACTGAGTAGGCCTTGGATGGATATTTGTGAAAAAACTGTTTCTTTGTTCAGCAGATCTAGTTATGTAAAGTTTGAACAATTAGCATAGACACAGCTGACACTCTGGAATTTCAGGCCATTAGCAGGATGAGAGCACTAACATTGGAAGACTCGACCAGCATTCCAAATAATACATTCTTGCTTGATGTGGATTCAAGGTAATTAACTAAACACACAAAATAAATTGACTTTCATTCTTCAACTAACTGATCTTCCAAATTACAGCATACCATTCTCTATAGAAGAAATATCGCGATCCTTCCACAATATCAACCTGTCTGATGTGGAACCACCTCCCCTCCTTCATCAAAGATCAGATTTCCAATTCCTGCTGCAAGCAACGGAAAAAGAGTTTTGAACAGTTTCTTTTTAATTTACACAGAAAGAGAAGGATAGTTATAGGACTTGATTGATTGAATTCTTTCTTTTGTTTATTGGTTAGATAGAGAGTGATGAGTGTTCAAAATGTAAATCTTTTTGGTTTCATGTTTCATATTCATTTTCCTCATTCAAGCGATGATTCTACAAAATATTGCATTGTGAGAGATCTGTTGTATTATATGTTGAAAGAGTGTAGTAAACGAAAACACATATTCAAGGTTTCAATAGAAAGAAAGAGGTTTTTCCCTCTGATTTCTTATTATGTTTACGATTGTTATACACTGTTTCATTTCCTACTAACAGCATAACAAACTAAAATCTCATCTTATACAGATAGCCCAGAAATGAATAATTTCAGTTGCGGATTTGAACTTATGGCACATAACGATAAAAACTATTCTAATTAATCAAACAAGTGCTCTGTCATTCATGATTTATCGGAACAATCCTCACAGGTATTAAAGCATTTAATTCAAATAAAATATTCCTAGATTCAATTTCATGTACACCAAACATAATCTACCAAAGGGTTATTGTAGTTTATTTCTATAACTCATGTAACAACCTGCACTAAAAGTTTAAAAACTATAAGTTGCTAGAAATGTCAAAAATTGTTCCCAGTATTTTCACAATACTGCAGGTACATGCACATATAGTAGTGCTTAATGCATGAGACAAAGAAATAAGATTCCTGCTAGGTGCAACTTATTGGGGCCATTCCATGGTGTAAGCAGGGCTAAAATTGAGTAACCAATAGATATGTCTGTTATGTTCGGTTCTTCTTAGTTGGGTATTTGAGTTGGGCGGGTTCGACTAGAAACTCTATGCTTACTAGCCCTACAGTGAAAGGGTTATGGATTACCAACAGTACACGCACAATACACACACAGACAAAAAAAAAAGCAATGGAAATGAAGTAAATTGGAGTGATGTGCGTTTGAAACATTTAAATCAGCTCTCAACAAAATGCTTTTTATATATCAGAAGAAAGTTACCATTAAAACTTGTTGCTGCCAGTAATTGATTCCAGAGGAAATTGTTGAAGCCATTGGATCATCCGAACTAATGAATAGACCTAGAGTTTTAAGCTTACATGGGCAAGTATGGATTCCCGTTCAATTTTGCTGTGGACTAAGTTGAGTTTGTAGATGTTCAAATTCCTAATTTCTCCTTTTCGGTACCAACGAAGCTCCATTCTCCTTCTCTACTTGATCAAGACTTCAAGACCAATCACGTATTGTGCCATGATCGTTACGCTTTGATAAGCTAAGTTGCAGTTTGACATGGGTTTGCGGAAAATTATGGTATACTCCTATGTTGTACCGAGGCAGGTCTAGGATTTTAAATTGATTTTTACATTATGTATCCAGTAGTAAATCCCCAATTCTTGAACTTTTGTAATGTATTTTAAATGCTAAATCAGATTACTTTTATAGTTCTTTAAAAATTTATTTTTTAATTTTATGTCTTTTAATCTGAAAATTACACACATGATATCTGGAAAAGTCATTTTTTTCCATTTAAATTGTAATTGGCTATAGAAGATCATTTCACTAAAAGTTTACTAAAAATTTCTAATCGACCCTAATTTGGTTCTTGTTGAAGCATATAATCAGGGTAAGAGAAGGGTTAATGATTTTAAAGCAATCTCTTCATTCATTAAAAATAGAAGATTATTAAGTTTTTTGCGATTTGCTATCAAATTATTCCAACTCCAAAGAGATAGGATCGAATCCTTATTAATTGATATACAAATTCAATCCGAGTTCTTATCAAGAATGCGAAATTTCAAGTTTATACATATATGTATGTGTGTGTATACATGCATACACACAATTAATGGGCTAGTTGTATTTAGATAGTTGTGAGTTCTGAAATGTATATTTACATTTATTTGTTTGTGCATGCAATGCAATGCAACACATATATGAAGTTCAACCCAAAGCACTAACTTATGCCGAACTCATGAATTGAAAAAATTCATTGTACAAGATCCGTCACGGACTCATGCAAGTATGCAACCCTTATACTTAATGGGGTCAAAGTTTAAAAAACCACTCCTAGTGTAGGGAGAATTAAAAACTCACAAGAATCACAAATGAGAAAAAAAATTCTTTCTTAATTTTTTAAAGTGACTTGTACCAAATTTGTTTAGATAAAGGAACATATAAAAAGGTTGGAATGAATAATATTTTTAAACTTGCACCTAAGTAAAACATAGAGAAGTACTTCTCTATCAAACACCGGTATCTCCGATCCTCTTTAGTTCGTTTTAATGTAGTCAATCATATTAACTAACAGAAATTCTTAGAAAATATAACATTGTCTGAGATTTTTTTTAATAATTGTTAGGTTGACAAGAATTAGGTGGTAGCAAGAACACATTATGAATTGAGAGCAATACTTCCAGGGAGAGATGTGTTAATAAATTGATATCACGACTCAAGTCGATGACACGGATTGTCCGCTTAGAAATTAGACACATACGAATTTATATTTTTTTGGAAGATTGCCAGCCTAGAAGCATGTCCGTCCTGCTTGACCTACCCTCATCGATCTGCCCTCCGTTATGGGCATCATATTCGCCCCTCCTTTAATTTGGGACTCGGCGTCCAAGTTGAGTTTGCCCCGTGATCGTACTGATAGAGTCAGGCTCTAATATTATGTTTATCATGATCCAAGCCCATGATACGTATTATTTGTTGTTACTCAACAGATCTCATGAATTTATTCCTTGAGCTATACCATCCTCGAACCCAAAAACGCGTGTACCATGTGAACTTGTATTGTACGTTATAAATCTCTTTACTTTCAAATCTTATTTTGATTGAAAAGGATTCACCTAAGGTGACAGGGCACTGTCTTTCAGAAGCTTCTCAACCTAGAAATCTGTCGGTCGTACTTGACCCACTCTCATCGGCCCGCCCTCCGTCACGAACGTCACAATTTATTATCCCATTGAAAGCCTTGCACACTTTCTTTGTTTAGATTAAGATCTAACATTAATTTTCTTGTTACCATAATCAAAGGGTCATCTTACTTTTTCGTTCTTTCTTAGGGTTGACCAAGGATATTAAGAAAAATTCATTTTACTACCTTTTTAATTCCTAAATATTTAATTAGCACTTATTTAATAGTAAAATTCTTCGGTAGAAGGGAATACATATATAAGTCTTACAAAACAGGAAAGAACACAAAAGTAGATAGCCAAAGGAAATACAAACGTCTTGGGAAATTAAAATGCTTCATCAGCTAAAGTACTATAGCTGAAATTAGGTGCGACCCTTCTCCGAACCTTACGTGAATGCTGGATGCTTTGTGCATCGGACTGCCCTTTTCTTTTTCAATATTTAACTAAGCAAACACCATAAATATTTTATTTACCTCATCCAAATAGTTGCCACTTATTTCCTTGTAATAGGAATAAAGAGCCTTGAGATGGAGTTTGCTTCTTGTTGATAATATCCTCTCAATTTCCTCATCTTCAATAAGCTCCTTCTTACCACCATCTTTAATGGCCTTCAGAAACTCCTTAGCCTCAGATTTTGCAAGTTCTTCGTTAACTCTTGGTCCTTCATAACGGTATGAACTCACAAGGCCAACTAAAAGCTATTTCAAACAAGAAAAGCTTAATCGATCAGTACTCAAATCCCACTTTAGAAAATTAGAAAATACTATATTTAACTTATATTCAGTGACAACCTAATGAAATTTTGGGTGCAATTTAACTTGTCACATGTTTGGCCAAGCTTCTAAAATCAGCTTATTTTCAAAAAAATATTTTCGGTGAAAAATAATTTGTGTTTGGTTAATTAATTTGAAAAGTAATTTTGAGCAACAATTAGTGTTTGACCAAACTTTAAAAAAGTATTTCTAAATGTATTTTTCTCAAAAGTATTTTTGGGGAAAAACTTTTTTTCTCTTCTCAAAAACTACTTCTACTTCTACTCAAATCTAATTTTTTTTCCTTCTAAAAGATTGGTCAAATACCTTAACTTAACAAAATACATTTGACTAGGAAAGAAAATTTAGCCAAAAAGAAGCTTGGCCAAACAGGCAGTTGATATAGAAGGTTATTTGTCTTAATTATCTATTCATTTATTATAGAAATTCACCAATAATTCAACTTATCTACCCCGGCAGTATAAAATACTATCAGATTATATCTTTGTACACTATCACATTGCTCACAAGATATTTACATGCATGTAATACTCCATAAAAAATAGGATTTGTAATCTTTAAAATAACGAAAGTTACCTACTGCAACAAGTAAAAATAACCTTGGTTGTGTAAAAAAAAAAAGTACACTATCTATGCATACAAATTAAACTCGTAATTATAATTTGAATGACATAATACTATAAAAACTTTCACATTGCCAAGTTAAACTCAAAACATATGTACATATACAAATTAAAGTCTGTACCTTAATTTCTTTCAGGAGTGTGGATATGGAAAGCAATGTCTTCCTCAATTGAGTGTTCAAAGAGGGAATGGTAAGCTCTTCTTGCTCCCAAGAGTTGTTCAGAAGATCTTGTGGCAGCTGTCTCTATAATAATATGAAGTTGAGGTTGAGCTTCCTTCACTAATGCCTCCTTAATCAGTCTTGCATCTCTCTCCCATGGATGCATTGTGTATACCACCACTACATCCTACAATATTAATTAATATTACTATGGAAGGTTAGCAACAATTAAAAAGGGTAGCTCGTTGCACAAGACATCATGCATGAGTCCAAGGAAGTAACGCACCCTAAGGGGGTGTTATGTAGACATCGTATTCTAATGCAAGTATTAGTTGTTGCTTGCGAACAAGGAGACAACTTTACCGTTGCTTCAAGTCTCTCATCCAGGGTTAGCAAAAATTAATAAATTAAAAGTAAAAAGATGTAGTACCTTGAGGCGTAAAAATTCTTGGCGAATTTGAAGAACATGTGTGCTTCATCCCATCTCTCAAATTGACGTTCATCTTCTTTGAAGAATTCTTGAGTGTTTTTCCTATAGAATTGCCTTTGCTTTGTGTCCCATTTTCCAAATATTGATATGAATGACTTCTCATCAATTCCAAGCCCTAAAAAGGAAAAATCCCAAATATAAAATTTTCATTTTCCAATTTGATACATTTTCTCCGAATTAATTCTTAAAAGAATTAAGTAGTAGCAAAAAAAATTCAAGAAAACCAGTGGGGTGACAGAAATGCCAAGAATTTGGCCAGGCATAAATTAACATAAACGATAAACATTAAAATTTGAAAATGCAG